AATATATATATATATATATATTTTTTTTTTTTTTCTTGGATTGTATTGGCTGAACCACTTTGTTTCACAACCTCTTTATGCACTTTATAGAAGAATCTGAAAGTGTTTGCACTCTTATGACTGGTGCTCATTGGACTCTTGTATTAGCGTTTGTCTGGTGATGTGAGATGCGGGGTAGTCAGTTTGAAAAATTGCACGCCTGAATAATCTGAGGAGCCCAAATTTCAAACTGACTCATGTTGGCTGTGGTATTGTGTCACTGAAATGTGGTCAATTTCGCTGCTACAATACTAACAAGCAGAAAGTTATCTTTGATTCCAAGGAGGAGTCCTTTTTTCCATTGCACACTCGCTGCACTGCATTAAAGACTGAGAGTAAGGACTGGAATCATCCGGTGCTCTTGAAGAAGAGAAGCCAACACACACTCATGGGTAAATGCAGGCACTTTGCCCACTTGGTTGCTGAGAGAGATGACCCACCTTGTGGGTGTGCTGAGCTTTCACTTTGACTATGAGGATAATCTAGAGAGCGCTGAGAAAGGTGTAAGAGTGGGAGCAAGGCAAGAAAATAGTTTTAAGAGAAACACGTCAGTTTGATGTAAATTCGGAGGATGAAAGGTTTGATGAGGTCGAGGCGGTTGGATAGAGAAAAATAAGATGCAAAAGGTAAAAAAAAAAAAAGTCAATCATTTTATTTCAACTGTTTAGGCCATCTTCATGAAGCCAGACAAATGCAGGAGTAACTAAAGTGCATAGTGCCTTCCCCACCTGTTACTGCCCACTGCCTGTCAGCTGGCCCTAATATGTTTACAGCACTTTTGCCATTCTTAAAAGATCCACAAATTAAGCTCCTTATACCAATTCCTCTAAAAAAAAAAAATCAGCTGGTTAATTTAGATTTTCTATTCGTTATAGTTTCTATTTTGCTTTTGTTTTATTAAAAATGCCAGAAAAGGTTCTACAGTACAGTGATCCATTAACCTGTGAGAGCATACCAGATATACAGCCCGTGTCTTTTAGATATTCATAGGTACAGATTGAAAAGTAAAGGGGATGGAGCTTTACAGTAGCTGCTCCAAAATGATGGGATACTCATCTGCCATCAATCTTTTGTAAAAGGCTTTTTATATTAGATTGGATGCCGTTGAAGAATGACAATGTATCTATTTCGAATCCCAATTTTTAAACGGACTTTCTTACTTGAGGTAATATTCACATGATAACTTGTGTTTCATCTAAATAGCTTTGAAGAGGTTTTACCTTGAAGAAGCCCTTGCAGCCTTCGCAGGTTCGTACTCCGTAGTGCTGGCATGCTGCATTGTCCCCACACACAGCACAGGTTCCTTCTCCCTGGGGCCCACGAGGGGGAGGTGAGGGCAGACTGTCCCCTAGTAGGGGGCCACAAGGTCCCAGAGCCAGGGAGCGGAAGGCGAGGCTGCTGCCCCCAGCCCCGCGATGAAGCTGGTACATGGGCTGCTCCAGGTGCTGGCCGTGGGGGTGGGACACTGATGAAGAAGAGGAGGAGGAAGAGGAAGAGGTGCGAACCAGCCCCGCTCCAAGGTTCTCGTAGCCACCAACACTGCCTCCACTGTGAGGAGGGGAGTGCTGGTAAAAGTGCGAAAAGCGTGGGGACTTCAGGGGCCCGGTCTCAAGGCCCGAGCCCATGGAGTGAGGGTGTGACTGAGGGGCCAAGGAGTGTTCGTCCCACATGAAGGAGGTGCCCGGCTGCTGCGTCAAGGACGGGGTGGTGGGAGTGGATGGAGGGGACTGTTTAAAGTACATGGTAGTGGAAGACATGGCCTCCAGAGGCGGGACAGTTGGGTAGCTCTCCTCCTCTTTTTTAATGGCGGGCCTGTGGGGGGGCATCTGGTAGAGGCAGGAGGATTTGGGCTCGTAGCTGCCCTCCACGAAAACGTTGAAGCTCGGGAGGGAGGTGGTGGCGGCAGCAGAGATCTCCCCCCCGCCCAGGTCTAGCTTGGTGTAGTCCTGGGTCATAAGGTCGGAGCTGTAGCTGTCACCCTGGTAGCTGAAGGACTGGCCGGAGTAAGCGGAGCCTGGAGGGGCCGGCCCGTACTGAGCCTGCACACAGGGCATGTCTGTGGAGCAAAGGGCACACAAATGGGTCAGAAATGCATGGCACACATCAGTCATAAGGTTTTTTTTATTCTATAAGTCTATTAGGGTGTTAGTGGGGTAAAGTAGAAGCCTATAGCAAGGATTAATATGCAACAAAAGGGTGGGACTTTGAAAACAGATACTGTAGTCAATCTAAAGGGAAAAAAGCAGTACTGTATCTATTATTGGCTCATGCACATCAGCCTACAAATTAGACAGTGACTAAAAAACCTCTGTACAGCTCTATTGGAACAGGCAGTTTTTTTTTTATCTGGATGCACATTTATTTTCCCCTCCAAAAACAACAAAACAGAAACTTGATAGATTCTGCCACACAGTGCCATTTACTATATGTCATGCTCCTGTGCTGAAGATACACACAGCAGGAAATAGTGAACCTCCAACAATCACAACTTCCACCCTAACTGATTAAGTCTGCACGGTTAGTCAGGTAAAGACAAGGGAAGAAGCAGCAAGATTCAGATACAGAGCATGTTATTTGTGTTTATGCTGTTTTTGTGTGTGTAGGTTGGCTGGGTGCACTCTGGTTAGTCAGATGGTAAAGCAGATGAGATAACATTAAATAATAATGGAACCCTATGGTGGTGTTGGATGCAACCCAACACACGCACATGCATATACGCTGATAAAGATAGACAGAAACATACTCAGATATTACCCCTAACTGAGGCAGACGCCAGTCGGCATATCTTGAGTTATCCTCTCTGATTCAATTCAGTTGCTGTCACAGAAACAGGCCATCTTTTAGACCTGGCTCGGTTCTCCCACTGCTTGCTACTTACTGACACACTACAGAGGGCTGTATAATTCTGTTAATAGTAGACAGTCTGTACTGCCTAATTTGAAACACAAACCATTCTTTGGACTTTTGCATAAAAATACACACAAAAATAATCAGATAATTAAGGATTAGGTTAAAAAGCTCAAAGTGTAGCTCTGGTTTAACTTATTTTTCCCCCATTGAGCTAAAGCCATGCCGTAACGAGCCCAAGATTGTTATCAGGAATTTACAGTGGGTCCTTTTTTGTCCTGGAAGTAAGATTTTCCAAGCTGCAGATATTAAATCAATGGCAAAGTCAAAATAGCCATGGGTTGATTACACGGTGTAGATACACAGCATATAAAGTTTAGTGAAGTAAATAAATTCATATAACATCCTATTTTTTTGAACTCATTAAACCACAATATCACAGACATTTTGTATAGGACATTTTGTTTTGCTTTTCAATGGATTAAATTAAAAGTAATGCCCCATGATTGCCAGCCAGATATGACCTCCAATAGAAAATGCAATGAATGTTTTATGTCTAAATTGATTTATTAGAACTTTTAAATATGTTCATTTTGTTGTCATTACATTGTATTAAAAGGCCACCATTTAGCGTGGCAAACCTGTTTTTCTACTGATCGATGGGTGTGACATCATAGCTAGATCCGAGGCCGAAATTCCTGAAATGAATAGGACGCAGACAGCGTGGGTGTGACGTCAGCATAGAATAACATGGCGTGTCAAATCTGATCTGTTATTTTAAAGAACAATGAGCCTCATTCCTTAATTTAATTCATACACCTAATAATTTATAATAAACTATTTATTTAGCCAAAGCTGCGTTAGACTGCACTTATTATAAAGATTAATTGTGTTTCTACTTAAAATAAAAAAAGTTTATCCATTTTCACCGAAACCCTTAGGGGCTCCTGTCCTGAACATGTGCCTCCACTACTGAATACCAGCTCAGTCGGAAGTTTGTCGCCTCTATTTTTCTGCCAACCCCGTGCGCCACAGGCGCGCGCTCTGCTTGGATCGTCACGGTTCCACGCGCGTCACTGTAAAATCAGGAACGGGACAAACAGGTCCCGCATGGTTTGCGGTTTCCCTCTAATTCCAGAGCACAGCCTTTGACATATTTTTCAATGTGACTGAAGATCCATTTGTTCTTATCACGAAACCACGGAAATTATAATAAGAGACTTTAAAAGCACCATTATTGTTCAAGTTTGTGTGTTGTATAAACTCTCATATAGATAAATTAAAATATACCTGACAGACCAGCATGGGCTCTGAGTTAATGACTCAATGATAAATACATAATACAGATTTAGAATTATTTACTTATATATTTTTTTATCTTACAAATAAATACCAATATATGGCAGGGTTTTTATTATTCAGTACTTAGATATCTAAACCACAAATTACTACGACGAGTCTTTCAATCAGTATGACAGGCTTTTTTTTTTTTAATTCATGAAATGACTCAAGCCCCATGCCTACGTGTACTTGACGTCATCCTCATTCTTCTACACTAGGAGTGACCATCTCTCAACCCACGTGGAAAAATACGCATGGCGCAATAAGGGCGTCATGATGCTGTTTTTGTGCTAAGCCTAAATAATTTTTTTTCTACTGATCATGCATAAAAGGAAGATGAAATGAGGTGTGATTAGAGCAGAGTGCGGCGGTAAACTTTGAGGCTTTGTTGTGTCAGTAGGTCAAACCCTAGATAAGTATTAGTGTGGCTGCGTGTGCGTGTGTGTGTGTAAAGACTCCCAGCACCTGTCATGTCCCAACACACCTTGCAGCAGCTCATTAAGCTGTCAGAGGAGTTTAAGTTGAAAGGTTTTAGGGCTGACATTGCCTCGGGTGAGATCAAGTGAAAATAAGAAAATTTAAAGATCTAGGTCTCTCTGAAACAGATTAGTAGCAAACGCTTTTGAAAAGCAGATTTTATTCTTCTTAAAAGCATGCATAAGGACACCTTTTTTCATCTATCGACCACTGATGTCCAGGATGTCAGCATGTGCCTGTGTGAGCTCATTGTGCAAATAACATCTACCCTCATCATAGGGGGAACCCTTAGAACCACTTCCTTTAGGAACACACGCCTATAGCTTCACATAGATCCTCCCTCATTTACATTGGATTTAAATATTATACATTTTTGACAACAAAGTTAATTTGTTTATTTGTGTGTATGGTGTGTGTGTGTGTGTGTGTGTGTGTGTATACAAGCAACAGGACAGACAACCCAAGCAGAGTCAGACAAAAGGGGGGGTGCAGTGTACAGTGAGGCAAAGGGAAACAGTCTCTAACCTCGAGATGTGCATTTCAACTGGACAAACTGCAGCTGTTCCAATAACTGAGCGCGCCTGTTCATTGTCAGAATGCCATAGATCTAACAAATAAAAACATGAAGTTGCACACATCAATAGAAAGCATTTTTTCCCCTCATTACTAAATAAT